TGAACGTGGTTTGGGTCGACGGGTGGGTCGCGGTGGGTCGCGGGTGGGTGGGTCGCGGGTGGGTCGCGGGTGGGTCGCGGGTGGGTCGCGGGTGGGTCGCGGGGTGGGTCGCGGGGTGGGTCGCGCGGGGTGGGTCGCGGGGTGGGTCGCGGGGTGGGTCGCGGGTGGGTCGCGGGTGGGTCGCGGGTGGGTCGCGGGTGGGTGGGCGCGGGTTGGGTCGCGGGTGGGTCGCGGGGCGGGTTGCGGGTGGGACGACGACAACAAACAACAACAACAAACAACAACAAAACAACAACAACAACAACAACAACAACAACAACAACAACAACAACAACAACAACGAGAATCCGCACCGCGGAATTCCACTTCAGCCACGCACCCAAGGACAGTGAATGACCGTTCGGCCCCCTCACTCTGATATATATATATATATATATGTATATATATATATATAGATGTATATATAGCACCCCGCAGATGCGGATGAGATTGAGCGGGCGGGCGCGGGATGGGTCGCGGGTGGGTTGCGGGCGAGTCGCGGGTGGGTCGCGGGGAAGATCGCCGGTGGATTGCGGGTGGGTCGCGGGTAGGTCGTGGGTGGGTCGCGGGTGGGTCGCGGGTGGATTGCGCGGAGGGTCGCGGGCGGGTTGCGCGGAGGGTCGCGGGTTGGGTCGCGGGTGGGTTGCGCGGTGGGTCGCGCGTGGGTCGCGGGTGGGTCGCGGGCGGTTCGCGGGTGGGTCGCGGGGTGGGTCGGGGAGTGCGTCGCCAGGTGGGTGGCGGGTGGGTCGCGCGTGGATCGCGGGTGGGTCGCGGGTGGGTCGCGGGTGGGTCGCGCGCGGGTCGCGCGATGGGTCGCGGGAGGGTCGCTGGGTGGGTCGCGGGTGGGTCGCGGGTGGGTCGCGGGTGAATCGCGGAGTTGGTCGCGGGGTTGGTCGCGGGTGGGTCGCGGGCGGGTCGCGGGTGGGTCGCGGGCCGGGTCGCATGCGGGACGACGACAACAAGCAGCAACAGCAACAGCAACAGCAACAGCAACAGCAACAGCATCAGCAACAGCAACAGCAGGAATAGCAGCGACAGCGACGCAGGAGTTCCTAGCCGCAGCGTTCGATTTAGATCTTGAGGTTAGGATGTCGGCAGTGTTTGAGGTCAGGCTTAGCATGCCAATGCTGTGCATTGACATCATCAGGTGTGGAATTCTCCTCTGTATCTTGGTCCTGCTGCTCATCAGCAGGGTCGTAAACGCTTTCACGAATCTCCTTATAATGCATCCGTGGGTAGTTGCTGCACGAGTGCTTGTACATTTTTGCATTTGGGCTCTATGAGCCCTGCCGGTGTGTGTGTGTGTGACCACGTAAGCATCCCATATGCAGGTTGGCAGGCCTGGACCGGCAAGGGCAAATAGGGAAGGGGAGGAACTGGTGAGGGGAGGAGGGCGCCGTTACGACAGGTTGCGGCGAGGCATTTAGTTCCTTCTCTCCTCATCCCTGCTTTGCTGCTTTGCTTCCCACATCTCGTCCTTTTACTTTCTGCACAACCAGCGGAACACCTGCAGTACCCCGCTCCCGGGCGCAGGTGGATAAGCCAAACCACACTCTTTCCCGATTCACTGTACACCAGCGCGCAATGGACCCAACGTTCCCACGTGCGCAGAGAATATTGCCATCCCTCTCATGCGATAGCTGGCGTATGCGTGTCCAGAGCACGTATCTCGCAGTACTGCTCAAACACATTCTGTCGTACTGCAAACTGGCACTGCAAGCAAACACACGCTTGGGGGGGCAATCAATCACTGCACTTTTTGCGAAATGGGCTTTTCATGGATTCGCAAACGCAGCGACAATTGAGCAGCTGCGAGACATCGGATGTTTGTGTAGCATATGGCTACTCGGCGGCCGATCGAACGTCGTTGTTTAGACCATTTGCCATGGTCTTGGGGTCTGGCAGTGCTACAATTTCTTTGGAATGCAACAACATCGCCGCCACTATATCAGAGTCGCTCTTCGAGCGGCCAAGCCCGAGTTGCAGGCCACTCTCGTGGAACGCATATTTGATACAGAATTTTGGAGGCCTTACGTTATATTCGTCCAGGAATCGCTCTGGCATCCCCCGCCAAGCTCGGAAAGAAACAACATGTTGTATGTTGCGTGTTCCACTGAATGTAACACATGGTATCTTGGAAAGGCAAACCGTAATCGCCAATGCAATCGGACTTGCATGGACGGAGGTGCCGCAAGGCATCGAGACCATTCCAGTGCTACATGCCGCCAGAAAGGAGGCCAAGTGCACAGACCACGGTATAAAGCGTGGGCTAACTGTGCACCGTGGGCACTCTGCATGGCACTGCGGCACGACACAAATACTTCAATACAAGGCTCTATGCATACATATTCTACGGCCACCAACTTAACTTGCACCAACACGCCACCCAGGGAAGCGCCGAGAGCGAGCTAGAGATTTCCCTCGTTTTCGGAAACACCCTACGGTGGGGGAGGAATACACTCTCAACATCCTCGGGAAGTTGCGTGGCCAAGCGTATCTTCGACAGAGAATGCGCGAGCAGGACGTGTCCTTTGCAAGGTTGTTGCAACATTGTAAAGAAACATATTATTTATCAACCTCGCATGTCCGATCTCTTATGTACAATCGCGGCCATGAAACATGGCTGGCTCTGCAATTGTCCGAGAAGAACAATAGGCTTGATTACCGCAAGGCCCGGAGACATTCACACATCACGGAATACATGTTGCACGTGTGGATCGTATGTTCGCAATTGCCGCGCGACCGTTGCAAGCATGCGCAAAGCAAGATCGAACGGTTCTTGCACACAGGCAATTTGCTCTCAACCAAGGCGTACGTTTTCAAAGTTCCTAGTGACGGCAAAGCCTTGCTGGACAGAGCGCGTCGCCTGGTGCGCACATACCTTGCAATGGCGTGCAGCGGAAACAGATGTCTGTACATTTTCCTATCGAAGAAGATCACAGTGCAAAGTGCGCGTGTTAGGAAATACGGTGACATGCGCGCACACCAGCACAAAGCTTCTGCATGATCTAGTTTACCTTTGTATAATCACATCAGGTCGGACCCCAGTTTCATGCCCAGACTGTCACACGACGTGGCCTGGTGCAGCACTTACTGGGACGTGCCAGAAAAAGAACCTGATGAGACGTTTTGGGAGGTTCTTAAGATGCAGATTCGACAACACCACGACCGCTACCAGTTTGTCAAACGAATCCCACGTTTGGAATATTTGCAACGCATCTGGATGGAATCTTCGGGTGCGGCCACACATGGTGAGTCCAAGTCCCATGACCCTCCGTTGGCGACAGTGCGACAGCACTTGCTGCACGAACTGCCTGAGGTGGATTGGGTCGGGGTGGACAAGGATCCACATCGTAGGGTCGGAGTTCCGTGGTACAGCTACCTGTGGATGCTGGGCACATGTTTTGCGAATGATCCAGAGCACTACAGGCCCATGCCACGCATGTCGGTTAAACAAGTTGCGAAATTGCAGCGGCTTCGCGACGAACGGATTGTGCCGGCACGGTGGAGGAGCTCACGGCGAGCAGAAATCACCGATTTACCCCGAGCTTATCTTACCATCAAGGGGAAATGCGTCAACCACATAACTGGCAAGCTCGAGAGCACGAAACCACACGCACATTCCAGAGAGATTGTTAGCAATTTCCACGCGACTCAAAAACGGTTGTTGCAATTCGCGGCACGCGCACTTCGTATTGTCAAGCGTTTGTCTGGAGACCACATGTGGACAGTATGGAACCCCCAGGAACTCCCAAGCCTCATCGCGGGCAGGGTTGACAGACTCAAGACGGTTCCGAAACATGAGCGGGCATGTCCATGTGGGAACTGCAAGCCTCCGTGTTCCGTCATCAAGGCAGCCACCTCACAATTCTTCAAGGATGCGTCGATGGTCAGGGGATGCTCCAGAGCCCGAGACCTTCTCTCTCGAGTTGGTGCTAAACATGGCGCCACTGGCGTATTCATCAAGAGAGGAAGGAAGACGTCAAGGAAGCTGGCAACCCCTGGCAAGCAGACGCCGCGATTTTATGTATATGTTAGTTTTTCCGATATCAAGCAAGCCTTGGAATACGCAAGGCAAGATCGTTTTTTCTTGGTTGGGCAGGCAATTTTTCGTCGAAACCACGGCTGGCCGATGGGCGGATCGCTATCCGAACCCGCCACGTTGGCCGACCTCGGGCACGTGGTACACCAACTGTACTCAGACACCGCATTTGCACATGCCGCTGGGCTGCATTTTCCCGGCCTGGACACAGCTGATGTGGTGCAATGTTGCAAGGTCTATTGTATGTTGACGACAGCCTGCGCCTGTCAAACATATTTTGTGCTTCATGCCTTTTTCGTTCCCTTCACGCCATCTTTCCCCATGATGTTGGCCTCACCCTCGAAGCATTCTCCCTCCTCCCCCTCACTTATCTTCAGTGCCAGGTGTTGGAGGAGAGCGGAGGAGTGCGATGTGAGGCGTTCTCTGCCAATGCAACCTTTACACGAGGGGATGATGATCAACCGAAGTACGCTAAGTTTCCGCACTTCGGCAGTGCACCTGAAACCCTCGCGAAAGGATTCATCGACACGCGTGTTTGGGAGAGGGTTTTGTGCTTCAACGCAATGTCGCAAGTTTTCCCACGTCGAGGCCTCGATGCAACACTTGACGTCTGTGCTGAGATCTTGTTCCTCGGATGGCCCCCATCCCTCCTTGGAGACGCGCTGCGTTCCATCCAGCGCAGACACGCATCAGCATACATTCGTGTCGTTCGCATGATTGGCAAGAAGATCCGCTGGCATTGCAGAAATGGCGGTGTTTTGTGCGAGCAGGGCTCTGAGGTTCGGAAGGGGTGTGCGTGCTGAGCTTGCACAATTGTACGGAGCCCTTTCTTCTCCAATCTAGCGTTCCCTGGATCCTGCGGCCCCTAGCCGTGCTTCGGCCTAGCCCATTCCGAGCCGCGCAAGCCCTGCCCGCAGCCATGGGGAAGGAGGACTGGTGGCCGAACGGCCGCGGCAATGGGGGCGGATACCAGCGCCGCGACGCCAACGCGGACAAGAACTACAGCGGGAACTCGGGATACGACGGTCGTTCGACAACATATGTGCATTCGGCCCTAAATGAAGCTCGCAGCATGCAGCAAGCTTTCGTCCGGCGTGAGACCGAACGTGAGGAACGCCGGCAACACAAATCCATGATGTCAGCCATTCGCGGCACCGTGATAGACACCGTCAGGGACCTCTTCGGCGGGAGCGTCCAGGGCAAAGATAAGAAACGTAAGAAAGACAAGAAGTCCAAGACATCCATATGGAAGGCTTTATTCAGCAAAGAAGAGACAAATAAACCGTTGAAGCTCTTGCGTCTGGCCAAGAAGCGGGTCCTCGCCCGCAACAGCAGTGACTCTAGTACGTTATCTTCCACAACAACTTCGAGTCCGAACGCAAGTAGTGGGAACCGTTCCTTCCAGGAGCTCAAGCAAATAATCAAGAATAAGGAGAAGCGGGACAATAATAACTTGAAGCAAATCGCTGCCCAGCTGGCGAAGGGCAACCAAAAGAACGATTTCATGACCTCGGGTATCGACCTCAAGAAGCTCGTTGCGCTCATCGGGGCGCAGGGCGACGGAAAGGGGAGCTCCGCCGCCCCAGACAATGCCTTGAAGATGATAGCTGGTATGATTCAGAACTCGGACAAGAACCCAGAAGAATCCATGAAGACGTTCATGAAGTGCCTTTCAGAGGTGCAAGCCTCGAGTCCGACGATCAAGCCCAAGAAAAAGTTGAAGCTCCCGGAGGATGACGGTGAGGATAAGAGCGAGAAGGTCACAGAGGCCATGAACACACGCTGGCGGACCAGATGCTCCCAGGAGTGTCTCGCGCAGAGTGGCCTAGCACAGCCGAGGCGTGGCTCAAGTGTTTCAACGAGCGCCCCGAGATCACCTTGGACCGGTTGGACAAGGTACTGAAGAGCAGCGACCTTCCTGCGGGAGGGCGCGACAACATTACCAAGGTAAAGAAGCTGTTGAACAAATTGGAGTCGCTCCAATGAATCATGCCAGAGATGTTCCGATCTATGCGCTGGAGGCTGCGCCGTTACGGCAAACGCCTCCGCCGCATTCTTCGGTGTCTCTGGGTGCCACTCGCTTTCTGCACAGACGTCCTCGCATGGCCCATGGAACGATGTCTTGGCCTGCCCCCCGGGATTTCCGTCATCGTGAGCCTCGTGATCACTCACATTTTCCTCCCGATAGCTGCTGCTCACAGATGGGTGGGTTTAGCAGCAGGGGTGGCAGCGACAGCGACGCAGGAGTTCCTAGCCGCAGCGTTCGATTTAGATCTTGAGGTTAGGATGTCGGCAGTGTTTGAGGTCAGGCTTAGCATACCAATGCTGTGCATTGACATCATCAGGTGTGTAATTCTCCTGTATCTTGGTCCTGCTGCTCATCAGCAAGGTCGTAATCGCTTTCACGAGTCTCCTCATAATGCATCCGTGTGTAGTTGCAGCAGGAGTGCTTGTACATGTTTGCATTTGGGCTCTATGAGCCCCGCCGGTGTGTGACCACATAAGCACCCCACATGCAGGTTAGCAGGCCTGGACCGGCAAGGACAAACAGGGAAGGGGAGGAGCTGGTGAGGGGAGGAGGGCGCCGTTACGACAGGTTGCGGCGAGGCATTTGCTTCCTTCTCTCCTCATCCCTGCTTTGCTTCCCACATGTCGTCCTTTTACTTTCTGCACGACCAGCAACGGCAAAAGCAAGAGCAACAGCAACAACACAAACAGCAACAACAACAACAACAACAACAGCAACAACACCAACAGCAACAACAGCAGCAGCAACAGCAACAGCAACAACAACACCACCACCACCAACACCAACAACAACAACAATCCGCACCGTGGAAGCCCATTTCAGCCACGCACCCAGGGACAGTGACGGACCTTTCGGCCCTCTCACACTGATATAAACACTAGAACCACGCGCGCGCGCTTCGCGCGCGTTCAGGTTCTCGTCAACGACAATTGCCGTATGCTGGCCCTATCTCGTAATCCAAAGCGTTTCATTCCTTCTCGCCCTCTTCCTTATCATCACCCCTCTCTTCTCCTCACTCTTCTTCATTTGATGGAGTCTCTGTAGAACTCGTGTTATCCCGACACCCAGCGCGCGAGGAAATGAGGCCAGCAACGGCGCTTTCTGCACCGTTTCTGGCGAATCTGGCTGCTCCGCCAGAAGATTCTCAAACCAGCACTCTCGCCCATGAGATCCGCACAGCATCGGCCCCAAGGAAGGGCCCAATAATGCCTCCTGACACTATTTCAAGCGAATCTGGCGGCTCCGCCAGAAGATCTGCAAGCATCCTCACGAAATCGTCCCCAGGGGAGGGGCCGAGAGTGCCTCCTGACAACATGTCCAGATACCGCTACTCCTCGGAGCTCTCCCAGGGTGCATTGTGACCAAGATTTTGGAGGCGAATCCAGCTGTGGCGACGAGGGCCTCCAAGGAGGCCTACAAAGGGGAAGACGAGGGAAGGGTCGCGCAGTCGATGCCTTCTGAGCCGTCTTCCCCCGTCTGACATTTGGCGCTGAGCTCCGCCGTCAGGCCTGGGAGGCAGGGAGGGGAGGGGAGGGGAGGGGAGGGAGGAGGAGGAGGAGGAGCGCACATCACCAAGGAGGAGGAGGAGGAGCAGGAGGAGGAGGAGAAGGAGGAGGAGGAGGAGCAGCAGGAGGAGGAGGAGCCCCTGGCCGCGCTCCTGCCAAGGAGCTTCGCGGCCCGCCGGCGCGCGCCGCGGCCGGCGCGGCATGGGGCGTCGCGCAGGGCGGGGGTGGGGCGCAGCGCGGGGGGGGGCGCTCCCGAGGCGCGGAGAGCGAGGGCGCGGACGACGAAGACGACGACGACGACGGCGACGACGACGACGGCGGCGACGACGACGACGCTCCTCCTCCTCCTCCTCCTCCTCCTCCCCTCCTCCTCCTCCTCCTCCTCCTCCTCCTCCTCCCCCTCCTGCTCCTCCTCCTCCTCCTCCTCCTCCTCCTCCTCCTCCTCCTCCTCCTCCTACTCCTCCTCCCGAACCGCGGGGAGAGGGAGATGCAAATCTCCGACGACATGTTTCCCAACCCGGGCGGATGTCCCCGATCTCGGCCGCTGGGGCCCGGTGTCGGGCCCTCTTGGCGATCAAGACCGGGTGCGGGGCGCAATGCTGCCCCCAGGGAGGGGGTCGGGACCTCTGCGACCGCGGATTGGGACACTCATATCGAAGGATGTCAGGGGACGGAGAGAGATAAAAAGAGAGAGAGAGAGACAGAGAGAAAGAGAGAGAGAGAGAGAGAGAAAGAGATAGAGAGCGAGGGAGAGAGAGAGAGAGAGAGAGAGAAAGGGGGGCCTCCGCTGTTTGACTACCTGCTGCATCCGGTGGGTGGGTGATTTGCCAGCGGAGCTCGATGAGAATCGCCTGCCCTGCTCTGCTCATGGCAGATCGAGCGGAGGATGCTCTCTCGCGTGAGCTGTCCTCGCTGCCCTGGCCAAGTCCGAGATCTGAACACGCTCATCCTGCTTCTTGTCTCCGCACTGGATCCCATGCAGTTGCAATACAGTCGGACTTCATTGGACAGGACAGGCGAGAGGACAAAAGACCCTTCCGAGGGCCACATTGCCATAGGAATGCAGGAGGCATGGGTCGCGAGACACAGGACACAAGGGTACCCTTGATTTGGCAGGTTCGACCTACTAATCCAGGCCGACTGTAGCAATTCGCCTCTGCTTGTTCGACCCCATGCGCCGAATACTCGTTGTTATGTTGTTTTGTTTTTAGACGCCGCACGCGCGAGGCAGATCTCCCAAAGTCGTCAAGAAAAATCGTGCAATTAACAGCTGCTCCATTACATCGACTGCAGCTGCAGAGTCTCCTTGAAAAATCGGGACAACCAACGTATTCAATCAAAATTGTGTTGTGCACGGCATGCATGCGGCAGTGACCAGAATGTCATGCCCATCATGCTTACGTTGCCATTCTTCCAATCTGCCCGTGTCCGTTCCTTCTCACATAGACCTGGAAACAGAGACCATCAAGTGGTGGGGTACGAGACGAGACCAGGTCATGATGCCATTTACCAAGAAGCCAACCGCCAACTCTGGATAATATACCCAGGAAGCTGAGTGAGGCTCTTCGGCTTTCGGTGTATTTCGGCGCTGGGCTCCCGACAGCGAAGCCGCAGGTCCCGGACGGCGGTGGCTGTCGGGCCCTCATCGGCGACCAGCGGGCGAGTGTGAGACGCTTTCGTCCGCGTGGTCGCCGCCATACCTCCTGCAGCAATCCACTCCAGCCACCACGCCACAGAACATCGTTGACATGGAGGTGGAAGCGAACCAATCCACTCCAGCCTATACACCACACATCGTTCCATGGAGGTGAAGGCGAAGCCTTTTCCTTGGATCCCTTCCCGGGGCGGGGGGGGGTCCCGGGGGGTGGGTCTGGTCCATGGGGGTGGTCCCGGGGGGTGGGTCCCGGGGGGTGGGTCCCGGGGGGTGCTCCCCGGGGGGGGGGGTCCCGGGGGTAATGTGATTGTGTATTTACTAGGGCCCCGCTCCAACAGCTCCCCGCCTCGGCCCCGGTTCCGGCTGGCCCTGGCTCTCGCCCCGCCGGCCCCGGCCGCGGGCCCAGTCCCGGCCTCGGCCCCGCCATGGCCCCGGCCCTGGCCCCGGCCCCCCAGCCTCGGCCCCGGCCTTGGCTCCCAGCCCGCTCCGGCCCCGGCCCTGGCACAGGTCCCGGCTCCAGCGCCCTCCAAATCTAACTGTACCTCCGTGGCCTCCCAGATGCCCAAGATGCCGAACCTAGCTTCAAAACAGAGAATGCCTGGAAATCGCCCCAGGAGGGCCCCAAGACGCCCCGAATGGTCCTGATAGGCAACCGGCGTCGTCGTCAACATCGTCAACATCCTCGCCATTGTCTCCCTCCTTCTCCTCCTCATGATCGCCACGCTCTACTCGCCCCTGCCCTTCCTTCATGCCCCCCCCCCCCGCGACCCTGCTCGCCTCGCTCTCCTCCTATTCATTCTCCCCCTGTGCTCCTACTCCTCCTCATCCGCCTCTTCCTCCTGTCCCCCTCTTCATTTTCCTCCCTATGCTCCGCGCCCTCCTCCCCAACCTCAGGGTCGGCGGCGCTGGCCGTAAGGCCTTCGCAATTCCTCCGTGGGGGAATGTCTGGGGTGACGCGCTCAGGGGGGAAAACGCCGCCTTGGAATCGGCGATGCACCGCCGCGATCGGCGATGGGCTCCCGACAGCGAAGCCGCAGGCTCCTGGACGGGGGTGGCTGTCAGGCCCTCATCGGCGACCAGCGGGCGATTGAGGGTCCATCCATGCCCCCCCCCCCACTGCCGTGGAATCGGCGATGCATCGACGATAGATCGGCGTTGGGCTCCCGACAGCGAAGCCGCAGGTCCTGGACGGCGGTGGCTGTCGGGCCCTCATCGGCGACCAGCGGGCGATTGAGGGTCCATTCGGGGGCGCGCAAACGTGGATTAGCGATCCATGGATTTGGCGCGCGGCCGCCAAATCCATGCGGCCGCCAAATCCATGGATCCGGGGAGGTGCCCTCCCCAAAAAGCGGCCCGTGCCGCCTCGCTCGGCGGCGGAAATCAGCGATTTCCCATGGAAAAGGGACCAGTCGCTAACCCACGCCCCCCTGATCCATGTTTGCGATCGCCTGATGAGGGTCCATGCCGCCCACCCCCCCTGGTGAACCAGTCCCCCCCCCGTCGTTGCCCCTGAGCCTTGCACCCCTCGCCGCCCTCCCCGCCGAGCCCGCCACCCGTACCGGGGCCGAGGTCGCGCCCTCGCACGAGACTCAGGACCTCATCAGCGACTTGAAGAACTGGTCGGCCTGCCCCCATGCTCTCCAGTCTTCTCTGCACCACGTCACAGGCCCTCGGGCCAGGCCGCCTGGTCTGTGAGCTCGCGCGCGTGTCGTGCGCATCACGATCCCCGTCTGTGCACCAAGGATCGCAGATCAGATCCACAACCCTCGTCGAACGGAGTGAAAGCCGATGCTGTAGC